GTATTAACATCAATGGCGAGTACATCACTCACCTTCGATTTGCCGATGATATAGTCCTTATGGCAGAATCGGTGGAGGACCTTAGCACTATGCTCATTGACCTCAATAGTGTCTCCCAACGGATAGGTCTTAAGATGAACAGGGACAAAAAAAGATCATGTTTAATGTCCATGTCACACCTATACCGGTAGTTGTTGGGAGCACTATGATTGAAGTTGTTGACGATTACGTTTACCTGGTAAAAATAGTCCGACTAGGTAAGTCCAACTTCGACCGAGAGGTCAATCGACGGATTCAACACGGCTGGGCAGCGTTCGGGAAATTACGACACATCTTCTCGTCAGGTATACCTCAATCTCTGAAAACTAAAGTGTACAACCAGTGCGTGTTGCCAGTGATGACTTACGGATCTGAGACGTGATCCTTCATTGCTGGCTGTATGAGGACGCTCAAGGTCACTCAGCGAGCTATGGAGAGGGCTATGCTCGGAGTATCTCTGCGTGATAGACTCAGAAATGAGGATATTCCTAGTAAAACCAGAGTGACCGACATAGCCCAACGGATTAGTAAGCTGAAGTGGTAATGAGCCGGCCATATAGCTCGAAGAACCGATAACCAATGGGGAAGAAAGGTTCTCGAGTGGCAGCCTCGTACCGGTAAGCGTAGTGTAGGGCGACCTCCCACTAGATGGAGTGACGACCTTGTAAGACATGCAGGAAATCGATGGATGCAGGTGGCTCAGGACCGTGCTTTGTGGCATTACTTGGGGGAGGCCTATGTTCAACAGTGGACTTGTGAAGGGCTGTAATGATAATGATGATGAATAAAAATGTAACGTTCTCCGAATTGTCAGAAATGAAGTCAAATCCATAATTATCATAACCAAACTTCTTTTAAAACTTGCATGGTACTCCATCAATTGTTTTATTTTTATTTCATCTATCATTAATATACAATACAATTTCTTGTCAGAGTTACTCTCAAGACTAGATTTTAAAACATTTAACGCTTTTTTTTGTAGCCAAGTTGGCCATCAATTGTACTATACCACTTTGTTATAGTACGTGATGAAGGCGGACAAATTTCCAAACTTTTGATATTTCGCACATATCGTTAAGCTTTCGGTGAATAGTAATGTAAATTTAAAGCAAAATATCTTTCTGTGGAAAACTTAGCCCTAGATAGATGTCACGTTTTATTTTAAGCAGCTGTCTGTTTAAAGTTCACGTTGTTCAATTATGATATTTTGTAAAACTGCTTTATTTTCCTAATTTATTAAATATTTTCCAGATAGTTTATTTAATAACTCTCGAAAATCAACAACTTCTTTTAAATAGCAGATTTGTGATTGAAGCCTTATAATAAAAACAAAAACTTGGTTAACACCTTCTAAGACGATAAACTGATACGACTTTTCTTTTTACAAATCTGATTTTTAAAATAAGTTCGCTAAACCACCCATTTCGATTTATTACATGTTTTAAATGTTATCTTGAATAATGTAAAATAAACCTGTAGAAAAATAATAAACTTACTTTCAATAATTTCAAAGCTTTTTCCTGAAAATCGTTTTTAAATATTTTAAAAAAAGATTTTCAAATAACACCTTGGTATCGTTTATCTATATGTTACTTATAATCAAATAAAAGCATATGCAGACTATGGTCTATCTATGGTATGGTATTTGTCTATCGATAAAAAATATCGACATAGTCTACGCCCTACGTTGCTTACGCATTTGGACAGCGGCAACAGTGTATCGACACGTGTTCAATTTGATGGTAATGCGTAAATACAATGAACACAAACACAATTGCTATAGTGTGCGTTTATAGTAATGCGATTTAATTTTGCATTTGTAGTTAAGTATACAGTTGTGTGTTTCTCTTGCGCCCCCCTGATGTTGACAGAATATTTGTTTAGAAATTAACGCGCATAGCCTCTCCAGTTGATTTAATACTCAAAGACCAAGTACGACCTCTTTTGAATCCGGCAACAGCAAAAAATTAAAAACCAAGATACCGCAGCCAGAAACTTTATCGCCATTTCTTGAATCAGTATGTTTCGAGAGGTTTTCTGATCGATTCATTGAATAGATATAGGGTCAGTCCGAAAACTCCTAAGAAAAACTCGATTATTTTACTAGAAATAATCGATTTTAAATCGAAATGCCATTCTTGTTCTTGTTAATGTCCTTTAGAATATTTTAAAGTGTAATCATAAATGTTTAACAATTTGAAACCTCAAAAATCATATTATATAAACGTAATATTTCATTTTATCGAAATTAGGTTTAAATGTTTGTTTGAATGAATTGATTATTAATTCATACGTTTAGAATTAGTCTTGGACATAGTTGGTAACCATCGGCAACGCTCATTTTAGTTCGAGGTCCTATAGCGAACTAGTTCACTCTTTTAGTTCGTTAATTGTTTTAAAATTTGTCAGTAGATGTAACTGAAAAAAAGAAGATGTATATTTATGTTTATTTTTATTTAAAAAGTATGAAGTATTACAACACATGTTTACTTTTCTATATATGGCACATAAAATCGCTTACAGCAATAATAATTAGAAAATAAACTATTTATAGAATATAATTTATATTAAGCAATATTTTCATCATTACAGCCCTTCTCAAGTCTGCTGCTGAATGTAGGCCTCCCCCAAGGAATGCCACAAAACATGTCCTGAGCCACCTGTATCCATCGAATTTCTGAATGTCTTACGAGGTCGTCACGACATCTAGTGGGGGCTTGCCCTACACTTCGACCATAGACTTCGCCTACCGGTACGATGCTGCCACTCGTAACCTTACTACTAGTCCGTATGACTATGTTGGTAACTCTGATTCTACTGCGGATATCCTCATTTATAAGTTTATCTATTTCTACATATCTATGTCTATTATTCTAGTGTACCCCCAAGCATCCAAGTTATCAGTATCTGCTAATTAAAAACAGCAATCTGATGTTAATAAGCTCGATTCACTGTCACATTTTCTCTTTTTATGCTTTGTCACTTTTTGATTTTTGGTGCAATATTTTTTCCTGTGCTTTTTATTATTTTTTAATTTTTTTACATTCGCGTGGAATACTTTCTTTTTTATTAACTTTCTTTAAGTCGTCTGCACTTTCCTTGTCTGATAAACATCCGTGAATAATTTTCTGCTCTTCGAAGTTTTGATTCATTTTCGATTTGTGTATCTTTTGTACATTGTAGTAGTGTATTCTTTTTTCTGTTTATATCCTTTATTTTTGTTCTTTTTCTTTGCTTCTTTCACGTTTCTTTTTTTCTAGTGATTCTTCATTTTCTCTATAGTATATTTATATGTTAGCACTTCTGATCCTTGAGTGTTAACGCGCTTTTTAGTCTTCTTAAGCAGATCATTTCGAGCAATATACTGCAAAATTAGCTGCTCCAATGATATGTTTTGCGTAACATTTTTGAGCTGGAAGGTTTCATTATTGATACTTTTATAAAAATTTCCAGGTACGATAACCACATCAGAAAGTATTTTTCTTTTTTCTTTTTTTGAAACGTAAGAATCAATATTCTGTTTAGGATCCACACATGAGTTTATTTTATTAATAGCAAAGCTCAGTAGACTTGGTACGTTGTAGTAAGGTGTTCCTGAGTCATTGAAAAACGTTTTACTTTGCCCTTGAATTTAGAATTCTTTTCGTCTTTGTGTATTACAATCGATCGATTGGTTTGATTTGGTTGTTTGATTGGGTGATTGTTGAGCTCTAGTATTATCGTCAACACACTTTTAATTAATATTAACTGCACATTGTCAATTTTTATGAATTATTGCCACTTTTGCCACAACAAAGAATCAAATTTGTCTTTCGCAATTGCGTCCCGGTTAACAGGAAAAATTCGAGTTTTTTGAATCCGTTTTCCAAAATCACTGGATTCAAAAATCCCAACTTTTCGTTATTATTCTTGCAAACTCTGCTTTGCTATTAATCAACATGTAAGCGCTGACACAACAAGTTCATCTTCCCATTTATCCTAACGCATAGTTTCATTGATTTCATTACGGCTGCATTGCGGGGTTGCAGTACATGCGATGAATACGGGGGGGGGGGGTAATTTTATAACTGTAATTCCGTTAGTTGCTACCAATTCGATCACATTAAAATCTACATTTGTGGAGTGCCCATCGTAAATCAGCAAAACGGGTCTTTTGTAACCGACGGCGGGTATGTAAACGTCTTTCAAGTACTTTTCTAAAATAGTAGTCTCTATCCATCCTTTTTGGCTAACCGCATAGGCAGTTTTTATATTTTCGTTTTGGGACATCCATTCGTTCCATAAATATTTGCCTTGGAATATAACCAAAGGTGGTATTTTTCACCAAATTTCATTAGCAACTAGCAAACTGTCGTAATTTCGTGAGCTGGCCCGCTTGTCGTCCTAGTTGATTGGAATCTAATTCATCCAACATGTTTTTCTTTAAACGGATCCGAGCAAAAACTCGTCTCATCAAAGTTATAAATTTGTTCGGGTTTATTGCCAAGTTCTAACTCCCGAGTAACTTTTTCAATCAAATCAAAATACTCATACAAACGGGTTTCATGGCCTCTTCCGTGCAATTTCCACAGATTGTGGTTTTTCGTATGAGAGCTTATGCCGCTTGCAAAAAGCTAAGAACCACTCTTTCCCTGGTACGTCATTTTTGAAGGGAGTCACTATACTGTTTCTACGGATATATTTCGAAATCATTGCAATTTTTTCTTTTTTGGTCAGTGGATATCCATATTTACGAGGATATGAATATACGAAGCTATTTTTTCTTCGATTTCAGTAGAAAACACTCCAGGTCTTCCACCTCTTAAAAATATCGACATTGCAACATCTCTAGCGTTTATGAATTTCATACAAATTTGGTGTGGTAATTGCAACTAACCTAAAACTAACCTAAAGTTACAATTTCCCCTCAACGCAATTTCAAGGGACTATTGTAACTTTAGCTTTATCACTTAATACGAGTCATGCCAACGAATAAATATTATAAAAAGCCTTACTGTATACAAAATCTGCTTTTTGTTCAAAACACCAGTCGTTTTAGCCGAAATTAAATATATTTTTCTCAAAAAATGCACACGCTGACTCCTCTGTAGACATCATAATATATATAATACGGATATTAAAATGTTACTGTAGCTTAAGCAGGGTAAAAGAAATCAGTATATCTGAAATAATATATAATAATATAATATAATATATATATATATATATATATATATATATATATATATATATATATATATATATATAATATCCTGAAAGGATCTTTATCTTTTCGAAAAATATCCAAAACTAGCGCTTTTTTTTATAGTTAATTCAGCGCGTTTTCTTTAAAGAGTGTTGGCAACACTATACCCATGAATATTTTTCATTTAACTAGGCTAGGCTGACAACCCTTTTTTTTTGGTCTTTTTCTTCAGTAATCTATGGTCTTTCTCCTCCATTCTCCTCTCGTACGAGGGGGTGTAAAGTGCAGTTCCAGTTTATAAATTATTTTCACCAGCGGTTATTGTAAGTATAATTCAAATATTAATCACTGTGAATAATTTTAAACTATTTGTAAACACGTGCGAATGTTTTACAGGAACGCCTCATACCCTCTACTTTGCTGGGGTGTTCCATGTTTTCATGTAAAAAATGATCGAGTTTACGATAAAAACACTGGACTCCAATAATCACCACTTTTCAGTGGATGATGAGGTAAGTTATTATGTTTTATTTTCTGATTTTATAAATAAATTACGCCTTTTGACTTTTGGTTATGTGCTTTGTAGAAGTGCCATAGAGCATATGTCTTGAAGCCCTGTGATCGTAGATTGTAATTAAAGTGTTTTCCAGCTAATACTGCGTTTAAATTCATCAATTTCTATTTTTTTGCGTGATATCCGTTGAAGCCAAAATGTCGTCCAAGATGATTTTGCAATTTTTTTTTGGTATGTAGGTAGTATGTCAAATTTAGTTATGTTGTCTAAGAATGTGAATAATTAAAGTTATTACCAGAAGAAGACTTGTGCATGTTTAGATTTTTAAATCATGATGCTTAGAATGATAATTTAGATTTTGTGGGAGCTTTGCTTTATTGTTACAATTAAGAGCCTACAAATTTGAGTAAAATACAACTACCCACTAACTACAAACAAGTTCAGCTAAAGCAATGGATATGTTGATTTACTTTTATTCCAACTGTTTGTTTTTAATATTTTATAAGATGACCTGCCTAATAAATTATTAAGATGAATGGAGGCCTTTGAGTGATTTCCGTTGAAGCCAATATGTAGTGCAAAATTATTTCGCAAATATTTTTTGTATGTAGGTAGTATGTCAAATTTAGTATAATTATCTAAGAATGTGAATAATTAAAGTCATTACCAGAAGAAGACTTGTGTATGTTTAAATCATAATGCCTAGAATGATAATTTAGATTTTGTGGGAGCTTTGCTTTATTGTTACAATTAAGAGCCTACAAATTTGAGTAAAATACAACTACCCACTAACTACAAACAAGTTCAGCTAAAGCAATGGATATGTTGATTTATTTTTATTCCAACTGTTTGTTTTTAATATTTTATAAGATGACCTGCCTAATAAATTATTAAGATGAATGGAGGCCTTTGAGTGATGTCTGTTGAAGCAGGTATGTAGTGCACAATGATTTTGCAAATATTTTTGGTATGTAGGTAGTATGTCAAATTTAGAAATATTGTCTAAGAATGTGAATAATTAAAGTTATTACCAGAAGAAGACTTGTGCATGTTTAGATTTTTAAATCATAATGTCTAAAATGATAATTTAGATTTTGTGGGAGCTTTTTTTATAGGATAGGGTGACAAACAAGCACACAGTCCACCTGATGGTAAGTGGATGCTGTGTCCCATAGACACTTACATCTATCCTCGATTATGAATCAAAATGCAGATGCATTGTCACCCGAGAGGACTAAGATGGAATGCTTATTTTCCAGTAAAACGGATCTCCGGTTCTCTACAGTCACCATACAAAACACAGCAGCTTTTAGCTGGTATTCTGTGAGAGTGTGGTCCTACCCCGGTCAAGCCGACCTATTTGTGTTACAACTATACTACTTATATAGCTGCAACATTACTAGACCACGTAAAAAAGTTTTGCTTTGTTTTTGCGATTAAGAGCCTAAAATTTTGAATGAAATACAACTACCCACTAACTACAAACCAATTCAGCTAAAGCAATGGATATTTTGATTTATTTTTATTCCACCCATTTGTTTTTAATATTTTATAAGATTATCTGCCTAATTAATTACTAAGATGAATTGAGGCAAAATACAATATTACAAATTATAGTCTAGTGACAGTGTTACTGTGAGTAGCGAGAGACAACTCGTAATATCACCAATTGGTATAATCATGGGTAACTCTTCTATTTTATTTGAAGATGAGGGAGTTCCTCATTTTACCTTGTGAGGTATTCACGAGGCACCCCTCATTGGATGTGGAAAATCACTTGTCAACATAAGCACCTTGCAAGGCAAGTCCCCTACTTCCAGAAGCTTTTTAAAAAGCAAGATATATCGTTACTTCAGTTTATTTTTGTTGTTTATCTATCTTTTTCTCAGTATCAACACCTTACTCATAGAGTCATTCACTCACTTACTTATAACACAATTCATACTGTCATTTTATGTGTGGTAGTGAATGAATAAGTGAGGTGATTCAAATTTGAATTTCTTTTTTATAGGATAGGGTAACAAACGAGCACACCATCCACCTGATGGTAAGTGGTTACTGTGGCCCATAGACACCTACATGTATCGTTGATTACAAATCAAAATGCAGATGCGTTTTCACCCGTGAGGACAAAGATGGAATGCTTCAATTTCTAGCCGACCCATTCGTGCTACAACTATACTACTAATGTAACTGCAGCATGGCTCTACCACACGTAAAAATTAAAGTAAATATAAAATAAAAATTAGAGTAACTTTTTCAATTTGCTCTCATGAGGACCTCAAACGAGGTAACTCATGAGTGAGTGGCACATCCCTAAATGGTGCACTCACATAGTTTATAGATAACATACTGCCAAGGTTTATATGTTCATGATTTTTATGTATATTTCCTGTTATGCAACTGAGCCTGATTAAACTGGCTGTTATCCACAATTTCACTACTGAGTATTTAAGCATATAGCAGCTCTATTCCTACAGTCACGTTTTATGTGCATGACTAACATTTAATTCTACAACTATTATATATACCACAGAGCCGTGCTGGCAGGCAAAATGAGTCAGAGCATTAATTAAATTATTTTGTATCCTTCTATCATATTTACATTCTCAATTCTCCATGTAATGCTCTGGTATAACTATTACTGTTGCAGTTATAGTCTATCAAAAATCCACTGCTGAACATTGATTTCCCTTAGATTGCATCATTAGGGGGATGTTTGCCATACTTTGTATGCTTGACGGGTGGGTTGGCAACTGCAGTTTTGTCTTTTTTGGTTTTTCTTAGTAAGACGCTGTTGCTCATCACCTGGTTTGTCTCCCTCTGTGGCTTATAATGACACCTATGGTAAATCAGCACTTAAAACTGCAATTAACAATTTCATTGGTGCCAACGGGGATTGTACCTGGGTTGTTCCCATACTGTGAAATTTACAGTGGTGAAGGTAAACATAGTGAGGAAACCTGCCAGTCTGAGAAATAAAAAAAAATATTTCGAGGGTGTGTGAAATTTGCTAACACGCATTGGGGCAGCGTGGCATACACTTTTGTCCTAAAACCCTCCCAAAAATTAAGAGGAGACCTGTGCCCAGGAGTGAGATGCTTATAGGCTGTAACTTTAAATTTAAGAACATGGTCAATAAGTATTAATAACATTTAAGTTTATAATTGTGACATTGAAATTATAATGCAATTTACTTTGAATAATACAAAATTAAACAAAGATTTGTTGCTTTTATTTATTTTGTACATTTACTATACAGCTGTGCTATCTATAATTAATTATATTTTATGGATATTTATGTATCAATATTTGTCATTGTTTACTGATTTGTATAGTGATGATAATTTCTGTAAGCAAAATATCCACAGCCTTGGCAATATAAAGTGTCATTTTCTCCTTTTTGCCCTTCTTTCAGCAGTCTTTCATTGTGCCTTAATCACCTTGCTTTTGATATCTCTACTCTTTTATATGGCAATATTAATCAGTAAATTTTTTTTCAATTACCACACATCATAAGGATTATTAAGCTATAGTGGCTCATGGCTGAGGTGATAGAAGCTCAAAAAACAAACTATATAGAAGAGTTGAAAGGTTCTCACGTAGGACCCTTGTACCTAATAGCCCATAGGCATGACACCCATGGGATTAGATGAAGTGTAGTTATTGGTTACTCTTATGGTACCACTACCTTTTATAGTCTATACGTTTATTAGAGTATGTATAGTATTGTGGACACTACCAGTGTATGGTACAATATATATGTATGTAATAATCTGCCTCTTTGGTCTAGTGGTTGTAGTAGTAAGACTGCTGATCATAAGGTCCTGGGTTCGAATCCCGGGTCGGGCCAAAAATCAGTTATTGAGTTTTTCCTTCTCAGTAGCTGCCCGGAGTCAGAAAGTTGGCGGTGTTTCACCCCCGTGCCTCGGAAAGTACGTAAAGCCGTTGGTCCTGCGTCTGATCTCTCTCTGGTCGTGTCGGTTTACCGTCCCATCGGATTATGAGAGTGAGGGAGAGTGAGTGCACCTGTGCTTGCACATACACTTGGGCACTATAATCATGTCATGCGCTGATGGCTAGCCTCCGTTGTGGCTGGCCGCCGTGATCGAAATTCGGTCTGGAGGACATTATGTAATAATCACAAGAATATAATAACTCCAGTGACATAGGTACTGTAGGCGTAGGTGGGGCAGTGCTACAGGGATTCCAAGCTCAAAGGGCCCCAACAATCGTTGAACGGCTCAAACTGAAATCACAAAAATTTCTCCTGAGCAAATGATCCTTTATCATAGATTTAGATAAAGTGTTGTAACCAGTTGCATACTGAATTTCATGCATTAGATTTGATTTTATGTAACCTAAGTATTTTAAGTGATATTCACATAATTTATGATGTCACCATGGGTGTTGTAAAGCACCTGAAACATCGAGAATTAAAAATGAGTTAAATTCAATGCGATAAAATTAGTTTTATTCAATCCTGAGTAATCATGTAAATATAAGAAATTATTATAATAGGTCCTGTTTTTCGCTTCAATTTATTAATGCTCCTTGGTAACATTACAACAAAAGCTTTTGGACCCAACTAATTGCAAAAATCAATCATATAATATAACAATATAATAATATTTCACCCCAAATCATGTAATTGGTGATAAGAAATAGCATTTCTACAGTGTTGTCAATATGATGGCTTTCAATAAATTCATTCCTCTGTAGGGAGGTAATAAGTTATTCTTTTATTGATCCATTTCACTTGTTGCTTGTTAGAACTCTAGATGCAATATTTTAAACATTAACAATTTCAAGTGTACTGTTAAATATAGTTTTTCTCTAATTGATACTTGGGATATTTATTGATTACTGACATAAATTAAAATCAGAACTTGTAAACTTCTTTGATTCATTTATTGTTCTTTAATCGATGTGTATGGCGGTTACATAGTAGTCTTTTTTGGATTCAATCACAAAAATCAGATCCAGGGAAACTGACTC